GGCCCATCATACAATGAAATGAAGTTTTGCAGATTTATATTTTTGCCCGCCCGTACCCTTGCGGCTTTATTTTGGTGCTTTTTAGACTTACCGGTCGCGGGAGATGTCTCAACGGTTCTGATCTGGTTGTTCCCCCCCTCTGTGAGTGTAAACGCAGCGTTTGCTGCGCCTCAGCCTTGGAGGAGATCAGCTTTCCCGGCTGATAGACCTCGCTGCTTGCCCCTACCCTGGGCCCTTGTTCTGCTGTGACAGTGGAACTCCTCGGCTCCCCGCTGCTGCCTCCCCGGCGAGTCACTGAGCAGTGGCTTGGACCCGTCTTCGGAAACCGTAACGCTGGTTTTCTCACCCGTTGAGAGATTGGGGTGGTTTTGTAGGAGTGAGAATGCACGCGGAGAGATTTTCGAAGGGGTACGGACGGGTAGGAATCGGATTGCTTGGTAACTACAAATTAAATTTCTTTTCCCCAAGTGGCCGTGGCTTCAGTGATGCTGCTCGCGGGCAGGATTTGGAAAGCTGCATTTGCAGCGTGCCGCAGTCAGCTCTGTTTGCTTACAGCTCTTCCTAAGTGCTGTTCGTGTTCGTTTGTAATTCAAACGTAAGCCGAAGATTTTCGTTTTGCATGTAGAGAACCAAAATAAAAAAAAACTCGTCAAGTGGAAAAAAAAACCCAAACCCACAACTGTATTTTTTTTAGGAAACGTACTGGGCTGCTGCTGTTACAAGTAACTAAATAATAGGGAGATGCAAAGGTGTACATGGGGGGGGAGGGTAGTCTGATTTTTAACCTGGCTTGGTTTGGGTACTTTGTGTGACGTTTAATTTTCATGGTTTACTCTACCTGCTGGCAATTAGGCCTTAAAAACAGCAGTTGTTTTCAGGCAGCAAAGGGGGGGGGGAAGAAGATCTACAGCTGCAAAAAATCAGGGTTCAAACGCAGTTGTAACACCTGCGTCGAATCTTTTAAACTTTGAACTGGCTGTGTTGTCTGACTCCCTCTTCTGTCTGTCAGTCTATCTGTTTGCCCTCCTGCTGCAAAATGGAAAGGGTTTACAATTTTTTTAGGGGCATCTCCTTGCTCTGTGGAACATGAATCTCTGTTAGGGACTTTTCAGTGAGGAGTCAATTCAGAACTGAATGCAGGCATTGAAACTGAAAACTCGTGTAAATTACCAGTATGGGGAAAAATTAGTGTTTGCTTGTTACACTGTAAATGTTATAAAAATGTGTGTTAAATGCAGCAGAGTTATTTCCTGGCTTTTGGGCAGCCTGAGTACCTGTGCGGTTTAAAGCTGCCGGAGCGATGGTGCTCTGCACGCTCTTCTTTATCGATTTTTTTTTTTTTCTGTTTTTCACTGTGTTTGCATCAGAGAGCTTGCCCCTCTCTCTTCAGTTGTA